CTCTTGCTTCTTCACAAGTTAGTGAAAGGATGGACTGAAGGAGATCAGTCAGATGTGAAATTCAAGAGGAGGGCTGTCGTTCTCTGGAAATCTTTGAGAAGTTGAGTACAGGAAGTGGTACAGCTTTTGTCATATGCAGACCAGGTAATATGAGAAAAATCCAATTGGAGAGGATCATCTTGCAGATGGAAACAGTAAGGAAAAGACACACCAGCCTCACAGCTCAATCGAAAAAAGAAAAGATGCCTTTTCTGAGGCTAAACTAAGGTACAAATTTTCTTCTGAAGAAAACAGTGGAACACATCAGTAATATCACACACACATACTAAAGAAATGTTCATATGTTTGTACTTACTTGTAATTTTCACAGATTTAAGAAAAGTCTATTACATCTTCATTTTAGGAAATACTTTCAACTGGAAATAGTTTTTGAGATTTGGAACATTTTAACGCTGTAATGCAAGCGAAGTGTGTGGCTTTATTTTCTCATATGAAGTTAATATTTATCCTGGCTTTGTTCATAAATGTACTAGATGAAAGTAAGAATTCTGCCATAAATAAACTGTCTCCACAGATTTGCAGAGGCTGGTGCATCATGTTATGCTCTTTGGGTAGGTTCTGACTTTACGTAAACAGAAATATACTTGTGGATTTTACACTGCAACCCAAAATACACGTCCAGATATTCATTGAGACAGCCACTGAAACGCCCCAACCACAATGCACACGCTGAATGAATAATCTGAGAGAAAATGGACATGTAGCTTGAAGCCTTTGATGTACTATGTTACATAAATGTGATTATTTATCCAAAGCCATGAGCCACAATGCGGTTCATGTACATCAAAACCAGGGGCCCATTTTATTCTCTGATGATGACGGCAAGACGTCACTACTCAGAAAGTGTTTTTATGCAGTGTACAAAATGCACACACAAGTACATGGATAATTCTTCCCGGTTTTCTTAGTAAACTTTACACAGAATGCATGTTATATTATACAGATAGGTGCACCCACCTTCTTAATGGCAGAGATTGTGTATTTCAATCTTGTTTTTTTTTTCTTACTCGCTCTGTTTCTATTGACTCCTCCAGTGCTTATGCAGTCCCATATAGTATGCCTAGTTTGATCTCAGTCCCTTTAAAGTTTGCTCCACCTCTCTTCTTCAAAGCTGATTCATTTACAGTTTCATTATCATTAGGTTGGTAATTGCTTTTTGATGTGTTACTCCTCATTAAATAAAAGTAAAATGAACTCAAACTGAACTTTTGTCCTGTCTTTTTAACCTTTAAAAATAGTATGATAGATGTGTTATTATTTCTGCACATTTCTACAACTGTATTTTTGGTAAAGCTCATAAGCTTTAGTTTTCATATGTAGCTTTATGAACAAAACACTTCCATATCATTCACATCATAACGTGTGGTAAGATTTTTATAGTACACACCACATCATTTTCTTTTGGACTGTCGACTGCATTTGCCTATTAGAACAACAGCATCAAATCCCACATTAAAGAACCATTCTACATGTTTTGCGTGGGGTAAGAGACTGACCAATAAAAGCAGCATGTTCTTCAGCATGACTGGGCCCCAGCATCTATTAATTGACCGAATACTTTCCCTGACTGACATTCAGATCAGAGCCACATATTCCCAACTAAAGAGTGGCTCACAATTTGTGTGTCACACATTGCCCTGGGAAATAGGGCAGTGCCTCATCCATGTCATCAGATAGGGATGTGAGGTGGTGGATGCACTTTTGCTCTTCTTTCCCCTGTAATGGAGTAAATTGATTTGGTAACCACAGGCAATGGGTGCTGGAAAGTTGGTCATAAATTTGTGAAGAATCTAGTTTCAACAGTCATGATATCATTGTGTGTTAAGAATTATACTATTTTTTGTTATTCAAAAGAACATGAAGTAATTTCCTCATCGAAAATACAAATCCATATGTAAAAACCTCATGTGTATGTAAGAAAATGTATTCCAAAGATTTACTAAGATAACAATAAAGAAAGTTTTCCATGTATACCAATTTTATTCAAATATATTAAAGACATAACCACATGTTACAAAGAAATATATATTAAAATAAATAAATATCAAAAACATCTGGGATTATCTAACAAAACTTGTGATAGCTTAAAATTCTAACTAATTTTAGAAGGTGTGCTGTTTAAGGCTTGAGAGGTCAAATGAGCTCTAAGACACATAAAAAAGCATCAATAGAAAAGCTGTGCCTCCAGTAGATATCTGGGTGGCTGTAGCCCTCCAGAGGCTGTTTGAAAAATTGCAATCAATGAAGCTGTGCGCCTCCATCACAGAAAAAATAACAAAGAGAGAGAAATTGAAAAACGGAAAAAGCTTCACATAAAGTTTAACTTCCTTTGCCCACATTGACATTGACCACATTGGCATTGAAAATATAGCCTGCAAAGTTTATTAATTTATATTACAGGGGATCTCCAGGACCTACATTTGGATTATTTTGAATGCTTGCCAAGAGCTGGTCGGGGTATTTTCTTTTAACTCAATTGTGTGGATAGATTTAATTGGCAAATGCCAATTATCCTATGATGGAGAAGTGGTTTCAGATGACTAATCAATAAATCTTCCAGTGTTGCTTGCTTCTCAGATAACTTACTCAAAAATGTGTACTTCCATCTTTATGATCACTGGACACCAAAAAAAATTAAAGAAAATCCATGGAAAATAAATCCTGTTGGGTGGGTTTCCATAAAAGTGTCTTTAATCACCTCAATGTCAGGCCGTAACTCTTAAATAGTAGCTTGTCAAGATTAACATGTGCCATAACATACAAAATACAGGAAATAATACAGTTAAACTGAGGGCAAAGCACCTGTTTTAAAAAGGATTAGCAACTTTGGTTAATTGGTAAATAAAGGTTTGAATGTGTAAAAATAAATTCAAGATAATACCAGATTAGTACAAGTCCCTGACCGCCCTTTGCAATAGCTTGCAAGTCATTTATTAAGCAGTGGAGGGCAGCGTTGCACTGACAAAACTATCAGTCATATAACAGGGGTGCATCTGTCCCACATTATGTTGAAGTTATTCATGACATATTCAGTATTTTTCGAGTCACGAACTTTAACTTTTAACATACTAACTTTAGACCACAGAGTCTGGATAAAGCTTTTGGGGTTTTCATCATTTCTGTGAGTGTTGCACAAGCTGACTTGGAATTAGAACCCACTGCGGGGAACAGTGGCAACTGAACATTTATCATGCTAAATAATCTCTCATTTCTCCTTAGAAAGACTTTTTTTTGTTTTGTTGTAAATGGTTTTATAACATCCCCAGATTGGGTGGGCAGAAACAATAGCTTCGTTAAGATTATCATTGGTGTGGAGAGGACTTTCTTTGTTACATACTGGTTCTATAATTTGGCCAAGTATTTGTGTAAATTGTGACATGGCGTACCATGATGTTATGTGGTAATCTGGACTTTTGTTTCCTTTTTCAAGATCTTGCAACAACTAGATTGCTGTTATTCCTCCTCTTCTTTCTCACTATTTTATTTAATATTACCTTGTATTATTCGTTAAAAATACTGCCAGTATCCGGGTAACAGACAGCACATATTACCTCAGACGCCCTGTGTCCATGAGTTAGAGCCAGCCGTCCATATGTTATTAGGAACATTCAGTACTCAACGATCAAAGTGGAATATCATCCATCAAAGACCAGAAGTTCAACTTCCACATATTTAGTTAACATCTAATAATAATAACATCTTTACAAAATTCATGTGGCTGGTGCCAATTTGCTGAATTCTCAAAAACGTACAACCTTTAGCAGTTTAACAGATTACATTTAATTGAGTTATTCTGCTTTTGTTTACGTCCTTTACAGACGGGGCACATGGTCGCTTCATGCAGTCTATCAACGACAGCAGCCAAATAGCACTCTGTATCTACTATAGAACGGGCCAATGTGACATAGGTCCAAAGTCTCATGACGACAGGTTCTTGAAGAACTTTAAGATTGGAAGGATTAAAAATAGGGGATATAAACACAAACAAATGCAACTTGTGTTGGGGGAGAATGAATATTGTAACAGATGAGGAATAAATTAGGTTTTTGTTTGTGTGACACGTGTGTACGTGGATTCTCTCATTGGGTGGTTTTGCTCCTCAGTAAAAGAGGTGGGGAACCGTTTCCACATCTGTGCCAAGTGGCCTGTTGTTTCATAATTCTAAGCTATTGCCATTTACGCCATTTCGTTGCAAAACCTGACCTGTTTTGTAATGCTCCACCCTCTTATACCCAGGTCAGTAAACTGCAACAAAACCCATTCAGTTAACTTTTTTCTGGGTGGGCCTTTGGCTTCCAGCCACCCTCCTTCTTCTCTGCTGCCAACCAGCAGACCGTGGCCTCCGTCTCTCATGGGACATTTCCAGTGCATCCTCAGATGGTACCATCAATTTAAAAACTACACAATAGACTACACTACAGAGCCCAACACCCGTGATGTTGAGAAACCAAAGACCTTTCTATAATCCCTCATTGAAATAAATTACTTCATGTAACGCTCTCTGGTCTCGTCCTTGACTACTCTCTTTAAAAACCTAATAACTAACTTAAGTGCAATGCGGCTGTTTGACTTTTAAATAAATACAAGAACAAACGATTATAATTCACTTTTCCTGGAAGTTTTATTTTCATTTACCATACTGTCCAGAAACCAGATTCTTCAAAGAATAAAACTTTCTAATCCAAAATCTTTTCAGTCAGATAAAATGGTTAATGTGCAAAAACAAGCAAAGGTTCAACAATAATGTATTAAATAATGAAAGTGAAAGGAAAAATGAAAGTGGCAAAGTCAGTTAAAAGAATGTTTCAGGAAAAAAACAATTCAGCAGGAAAAAAACAATTTACTATTTACATTAACAACAATGTCAGAGCTACAAGAGCTAAATTACTAAAGTGCTTTTAATTTGAACATGCAAAACTGCCACCTTAATTCACATTTGTTCACAGGGGGGAAGTGTGCAGCGAGTTCAAGAAGCGTTGCAGTGCAAAGAGGTACTCTTCTGGGTGGCATCGCAGGTGGGCTGCATGTGTGGACTCCTTCCACTTCCTGATGTCCACATTCACGCCCCTCCGCCTCCAGTGGTCAATCAGCTTTTCCATGACAGTCAGGTTGCACATGGCGTCGTTTTCACAGAAGAAGAAGAGGGCTGGAGAGGTAATTGGGCTGTTGTAAAACACTTGGATCCCATTCTCATAGATGTCAGCTGTGTGGGATTTGAAAAGCCAGAAGTAGAGCATGGCGGTGTTTTTGATGAAGCCTTCTAAACGTGGTACAAGAGTCTTGCCAAGGCCTGCATGAGAAGAGGAGACAATACATTTTAAAAAAGGAATAAATCAGGAGCCCATTTTTATGCAACCCTTTTCCCCAAAGAAACAGTTGGCGTGTTTTCCATATTGTAGATAAAAAAGAAGAAATGATTTACACATCATATAAACTCCTTATTCATTAAAACATTAATAAAGCAATGTATAAAATAAGACCAAGGGACCTTAGTTGGAATTTGCTGCCATCAGAACATTCCAAACGCATAACAGGGACATGAGTAGCACTCTGTAAGACCCTGAGCTCTAAACATCGTGTCACGCAGGTGCTCCCACAGCTGAATAATGTCCACAGAGTTTTGTCATCATTCCAGAACATATAAAGCTGGTGGCTTTGCAAAAAAAAGCTTAGCTGCAACTGTGAGAAGCTGTAATGCATGCAACTCAGCTTGTTGCTGACTAATCCAAAGAAATAGGCAGGGGTGAGGGAAATACACACAAATGGGTTTACAGAGGAAACAGATGGTGTTAACATTATGTACACGTGAGTGGTATGATCTGATGTTTGAAAAGAAACGAGAGCCCAAAGGATTTGTGAAAACACAGGGCTCTTTTTTTTATATGTACGTAAAATATGACCTATCAGGTTGGACGGGCGGATGGACAGACAGATAAATAGATAGATCATTTTTCATTCTTTATAGATGATATTCCAAAAAGAACTACACAACACATGCTCCGTTAAACTGTCTAGAACAAAGAACAAAAGAAGATAACCCCAACCAAACCCAGGACGTCCTAACTGGGGCAGTAGGTCATGCGTCTCATAAATTATTGAAGTTCTGACACACATCCTACTCACAAGCAACCCGAGCTCCATAATGGATCACTCTTACCTGTTGCCATGTGATCCAGCGAGCCGACCACAAGGCTGTCGTAGATGTGTCCTACGACCCTTTTTGACAAAGTGGCGTATTTTTTCGGTTCCTGGGCAATGTGGGTGAGCACCTGTGTAAAAGTGTAGCCACCGATGGAGGAGGCGTGGACCAGGATGGCTCTCCCTGAGAATGGAGGCTCCTGCAGGATGTCCAAAACCTTCAGCCCATAGTTGAGTCCCCATCTGGGCCACAGGAAGTGCATAACGCTGCTCTGGACCAGGAGGACATCCATGCCATGGTCCAGGTAGAGATCTCTGTACTTGGAAAAAGCCCCCGGCTGGGCCCCGAGCCAGGAGAAGAAGAGGAGAAGTGGACGGGTAGCGGAGGCACAACATGACTGCTTTTGAAAAGGCACAGCCGTTTGTTGAGGTGTTTCTGAGAGCAAGGGAGAAGAAGACCTATCTGCAGAGTCGCTGACAGGCCTAGCTGAGGCGGAAATGGATGGCACAGGGCAAAGAGTTGCAGGGGGCTGAGAGTCTTTGGCAGGGTACACTGTCTGGTTCCCAGCAGCTGTGATCGGAGTGTAATAATAAACTATACCACTGCAGATCCTTCTGGCTACAAACTTCCCTTTGATGATTTGTTTGGGTAGAGTTTCGTCAGCCTTGAAGAGACTAAAAGAAAAGTCAAGGCAGATGAACAAAGTAAACATCAATACATTTTTACATTGTCTGACAAAGGACACTGAATTAGAATTAAAAAAAAAACATAGTTTCAAGCTGTGAATGTCCACATTTAGCCCCCTGATTAAAGATTCAATCACACTTGTCTTTATGCACAGTAGATCATATGTATTGTTTGTAGAAGATATTCGGATGACATTGATTTGTGCTCCAAGGGAGCGCTATCCAAGGTTAATAATAAATCTTGGATACCTGTTAAACACATCTATTTTGGGCACCCAGTCAGCTGCCTGAGTAGCTTTGAATAGACATGCTCTAATTTGTCCCTTTAACTAATTTGACAAACACTTTCTAAATCAAAAGAGAACAAAACATAATATTTCACTATAAATAACATATCATGGACATACATATGTCCATGACGACATATCATATATAAAGTTGGTTTGTAAAAATGTCTAAAAGTAGAATAGAGGGCAGCAGAGATGTCTATGCTGGTTTGTCTGCCTTTAAAATAGAACGAAAACTTTTCGATAAAGTGTTGATTTGGGCATGGCTCTCGTCATCCTGAAACATCCCACAGCTATGCCGCTATAGGCCCAGACTGCCTGGGGACCTGTCCTACTTGTCTTTCTCAACATATATTCCCTGCTCACTGCTCTTTCTCCCCAATGGTCTCAACAGCCAGGTGCTACCATTCATTTCGAGCTGTTTTCATCTCCTGCATGCTCAGGATGGGCAACTGGATCAAAGAAGTTTTGAGCATTCAACTTCTTTTGGAAAATTGGCTTGGTATGAACCAGATTAATCTTGGACTGAATTAGGAGGTATTTTATTGGATTTTGACTGTATTACAATGAAGTTGATTGTAAGTATCTTAAATCAGACCATATCTGTGAAGTGCCTTGAGATTATATTTCTTTTGATTTGGTCAACAGAAATTTAATTGATTAAAAGATTTTCCTTGGAAATTAAATAGAACGTATTAGGAATGTTACTACCATGAATAGTCAAGCACATTTGCTTTTTTTTTTTTATTACTCACTACTTATCACTATCACCATAGAGATCTACTAAAAAACAATTTATGGCAAAGCTGTTGTTTTATTACGAACTGCGCAAATACTCACCAAGTATGTGTAATTAACATTAACATTTTTTTTACTAGAGTTGGCTATATAGCTTCGTTTACATCGATCATTCTCTTCAATAATTGCTTTGGACGCTGACAGGTAACTTCAACATAAAGCGCATTATTCAATTACTTATTTCCCTTAAATGTACCTATACTTCCAAGAAGGGAGCATATCCTTTGAATCCTTTTCTAGCTAAAGCCTTTTCTTTTACACGCAGAGTACCAGCTGGAGGCGGTGACACGCTGACAAATTTCACTGCATTCCTACCGGGTTTAGGGTGGACGCAGCCCTTCAATGGTCAATCTTTGTTTTCTAATAAAGCTCGCACTAGTTCTGCAAAGGGCACCGTGCTCTGCCCAGACAACGCGCGGTGGCATATTACCCAGTGGAGAGCGGCAGATTCCCCATGCTGACAGGCGGCAGAGAGCGCTTGTCCTCCCGGTGGTGTGGAAAATAACTTCTCGCCGCAGCTCAGACCTGCCACGGAGCCAGCATGAAGTGGCGGCAGAGCCCCCCCCCCCCCCCCCCCGAACGTGACCGACTGCCGAGCGCCCGCCCCCTCATAGCTGCCATGCTAGCAGCGGCTAAGCTAAACTATGCTAAGCTAAACTAGCGCCCTGCACACATTGATACCTCAGAGGTGTTTCACGTGACCCCGCTTTGGCAACGGCAACTTCTGCAGTTTAAACCAGCACTCCCGAAAATAAAAGACAAAAAGGATTGAAGGAATAGACAATAGTTTTCACAACAATGTCATACGAGCTATATTTATTGTGTTTTTCACAGAAACGCACGAATGAAAAAAGGTGCCTGGTAATGCAATGATAATAATAATCATCTATATTACTAAAAAAAATTCAATTGCACCCAAGGGAGCAAGAAAAATTAATCACCTCAGTACAAGTTATTTGTCTATTCACAGAGCAGAATAATCCTATGCAATTCATTTACTCAAGAAGCCCTTAATAAACCACAAAGGACTACATTAGTATTGTTACTCTTTTATTATAGAAATTCTTTCAGCTTGAAAAGATTGTTATAGAGTTTCTGAATTAATGATTTCTGCCTGTGGGTAAATCTGACTGATCAAATGCAGATGTATTGTTTATGGCTCATCCACAAATGTTTTCTTGGACTTCTTTATCAGGTGCTGCAAAAGAATAGTATTGCCATTCAAAACAATGAATTATTCAAAATTGCAATGCTTGCGTGAGAGTAAACAACCACCAAGTGAAGTTATTGAGCTTTCAAAACTGTTTCAATTAACTATTGTTAAAACAAACAAAAAAAAACATTCAGTTTCTGAATGTTAGCCTGGTTCTTTTGTTTCAAGCCTAAGAATCAACCAGATAAATTGTCAGCTCCCTGAGGATTTAAATCAGAAAGAGCCAAAATAGAATCTTTTTGGGGCTGGGCCTTCCCTGTACAATTCAAAGACTGGACTAAAAAACAACAGTCTCAATGGCCAGTGAACTTTAACATGAACAAGCCAGTTCCTTATTCATGAAGATTCCACTAAAATATTATATGAGACGTGTATGAATGTATGTGTGTGTTGTCCTTGAAGAAAATCTGTCTCTAATGTGCAACAAAGGTTAAAGAGAAACTTGCCAGCACAACCATTAAGGTCATATGGGTTTAATTCCAGCATATAGGTCTAAAGTGAACAAAACAATTACTAAGTTACTTTAATTCAGTGAAAAAGTTCAAAATTAAAGTGAACAAATAGGTATAGATGAGGTTCAAGTTAAATTTTTTTATGGAAATGCCGGTCTTATGGGACACACGGTTCCCCTGAAATGATCTGTTTCCACCTTCTTGATGGTGTGCACCAAAGCTACAGCGATGAAGCTGAATAACCCAATGAAGTTGGCGAGCAGGACCCTGTGCGTCACCTTTTCTTTGTTGTGTTGATAATACATTCCAGTCAAGTGGCTAAATAGGGAAACATTGGAAGGTCATACTGTACCAATTCACTCCCACGTGCCAACCATCTAATGGAAAGATCTTTCAGTGCCACAAGATGGAGCCAGACGACTTCATATTGACTTTCAGGACTAAGCCTAGTGTGGCCCTCTTCTTGAAAAATTGCTGGTTAAATAGTTTTATGCATTTTAAAAGGTCTAATTTCTGATGGAGCCAACTATTGTAATATAATGTTGAATTCCAAACCAGTCGAAATCTATTTTATTCATTTAGATAAATATTGATAGGCTCGACCATGTAACCAGCAGCCTACTAGTGTACCGTGGCATTATCTTGGGATTTTCTTTAGAGCAAACCTAACTGAGGTTTCTGAAGCCTAAATAAGGCCTTTGAAATGGGATCCTAGATCAAGATGAATTGAGGAGGAGGTGCCTCGGTTGTGTAGCAGGAACAGGTTGGAGAAAAAGGTGACTGGGTTAAACACCATGATCATCATAAAATTGTAGGACCACTGACATAAAATGGATCAATAAACCGTGATGAGGAGATTAGGAATTAGAATAAATAATGTTTAAAAGTAATTAAAGGACAGCAGTTGTTGAATAAATGTATTTGTTGACATTCTGTGTATGTCATTCACTTTTTCGCTTTTCCTTGTTCTCAGTTGTATTGTGTTTTTCTCCTTGGTGCTTTAAATCATAAAACGAATCATATCATTATGCCTTACTTTTCTCTCTTTTGTTTCTATTTCAGTGTTTGGTGGAGGGAGATCAGGGATACCTAAACTGCACGTTCTTTTATTGCCAATTATTACATAGTTTCCCTTTGGAATAAATAAAGTATTTCCATGCCATTATTGTATTGTCATCTATTTTAAGATGTATTATTTATTTTGAGCATGTTCCCTTCTAATAAAGCCAGTCCCAGCATGTACACTGGCAGAGTGACATGGGCTCAAACACTGGTTCACAGAAAGGGGGCAGAAGGATCAGGAATGAATAGACTTGTGTTTCACGAAATCAAAACCAAATGTGCTGCAATGGCAGGTTGTCCAAAACAGAAATTGAAAGGCAGAATCGAGAAAAACAAGACTCAGACTATCAAAATCAGTTTTATCAGGTCAAGCGTTGCTGTAACCTCAAACCAAAGTATGAAAGAAGAACAGGAAGCCAAACCAAAGTCCACACAATGTGATATACTGCACAGGCAGGCTACACAACTTAAATGTATCTTTAGACAACATGAAACAAATAAAAAAAACAGTATCCATGGTATAACCTTGTGACCTCTACAAAAATGTACAATTATGTTAATTGGATGTGAATAACACCAGACTGAAAAATGCAAACTTACAGTACATAATATCAATTTAGAGTCTCTATAAACCCAACTCTGACCTCTGTTTATAAGTAAGCTTTGGTAAACCTTCATTTTACTGTAGTGGCGGTTGTCATGACAGTGTTATGAGGACAGATCTTTCCATTTAAGGTAGCAGAGGAAGTTTTAGGTCATCAGAGCCTCTCATGTTCTCAATGTTTTCTCATTTCCTTGATCCATTTTCCACAGTCACTTGCACCTTCTTCCACCGACACACACACACTAGCACACACAGGACACAAAAACACATTTTTCCTCATATTTTCCGGACTTCTGTGAAATGCTTCTCCTTTGCAATGGGTGCATCTATTTTTGGGGTCATTAATATGCATAACATTGCAAAATGCAATCATGTGCCAGTTTTTGTGTACCGCTTGATAGTCAGTGTAATAGTAAGCCTGTAAAGCATTTTAACCTAGTTTTGATAAAAGAAACTGGGAGTGTAGAGTGGAAAAACTGCATCCTTGTTTTCAATTACCCCTTTTTATCCATAGTCTTGTCTGTTAAAAGTCTGTAGAGTGGTCAATGTAGGTAAAAAGAAACTAGACAGACACCCATATCCAGTTGTCCATGGCAACGGC